GTGACAGATGGGCTGAGCAGGACCTACCCAGGCTTCCCAGCGTTCACTTCCCTGAGCTGTTTGGAACTGCCCGAGGGAAAGATGGCACCTCTCCAGCTTCCGTTTCCCAGGTCCCTTAGCCTGTAGTTGATGTCTGTGGGGAGTACTTCCTGAAAGTGGGGGTGGGGAATACATTTTTCATAAAACCACAAGACATGCACATTGTTACAGAGACAAAGATAGTAGTGAATGTGTGCCCATGTCAGGGGCACTTGTGGGCCAGTGTCCAGACAAAAGGTTTGGAAAGGTCTTCGAGTCTGTGACTCAATAAGATTCAGCTGAAGTAATGGGAGCATCTCATCCAGGTGAAGGGGATGGATGGGATGATTGTGCCATTGCTGCTGAAACAGACACCAAGCAACCACAGTGGGTGTCTTACGGCCCCAATTTTATTTTACAATTAAATAAGTTGACATATAGGTATGAAATATACTCAGCATATAACCTATCTCCCAAGCTGCTAATGGAAGAAATAGTGGGGTTTTGTTTTTTAAGTAAATTGTCAGGTGTCTAAAGATGACTTAGCTTTTTTGGAAAGTAAGTGTGTGTGTGTGTGTGTGTGTGTGTGTGTGTGTGTGTGTGTGTGTGTGTGTGTGAGAGAGAGAGAGAGAGAGAGAGAGAGAGAGAGAGAGAGAGAGAGAGAATGTACAAATGTAAGAATCATGCTGGATACCAAGATATTGACTCTGTTAAAATTTTCCTTAAAAAAAAAAAAGGAAAAATGGGGCTGGAGAGATGGCTCAGGGGTTAAGAGCACTGGCTGCTCTTCCAGAGGTCCTGAGTTCAATTCTCAGCACCCACATGGTGGCTCATGACCATCTATAATAAGATCTGATGCCCTCTTCTGGTGTGCAGGTATACATGCAAAGCACTCATACATAAAATATAAATAAATAATTTTTTTTTAAAAAAAGGAAAATTACTGTTTAATTTTTTTCTTTTATTAGACATTGGTTATAAAGTAACTTGGAAGCTGCTTTACTAATATGTGCTGGAGTCAAGATAAAAACATTTTAAGAGACTGGAGAGGTGGATTGGTGCATAAAAGCTCTTGCTGGTCTTGCAGAGGACACAAATTCAGTTCCCAGCACCCACTTAGGTGGCTCACAACCATCTGTAACTCCAAATCCAGGGGATCCAGCTGCTCTTCTGGACTCCAAAGTGCATATATATACACACAGACACTCATATACATATAATTTTAAAATAGTAAAAATAAATCTCTTTTAAAATAATGTAAAATATTAAGTTCCTTAGTTTTGGCAAGTTTAACTTTTCTGGGGTTTTTTTATTGTTAGCTGTAAAACTGACACAGACATTCTCTACAGTTTAAAAAGCAGTTAGTTTGACATCATGTCAGTCAGAGTGACTTTGGCTGCAGAGAATAGAAATTACCATTAATGGGTTTCATAAGGAGTCAGTTTCCATCTGTGACACAAAGTCTAGCAGGGTAATTCCTCTGCTCAGTGATGACGTCATCCAAGGCCAGGTTTCTTTCTTCTTTCTGCTCTGACACCTTTATCTTTCAAGCTTTATCCTTTAGTGTCTTGGGTCCTCAAGACCATATAGTTAGAATGTCCTTCTATGCACTTTCTGTCTTCCAGAAGGCTTTCCTTCACACCTTATTGTCCAGAGCTGATCATATGCCCTTGCCCAAGCCAGTTAACACAGAGCTGTGTCCACCATGATTCAATCAAACCAATAGAGACTGTGCATGGAGTCACACAGGAAAGGGGTGAAAACTGGGTACCTGGACAAAATTAGAGTGCTGTTTCCAAGGAAGAATGGAAGCTTATCAGCAAAATCGACATAACAATATTGGACACAGTGAAATGACAAATTAAGATTGCCTAATATAAACTCTTTTAATCCAGCGCCTATATTCAGTTGTAGACCCAAAAGCTGTTTTATTTATTTGTTTGTTTGGTTGGTTGGTTTTTGGTTTTTGAGACAGGGTTTCTCTGTATAGCCCTGGCTGGCTGTCCTAGAACTTACTCTGTAGACCAGGCTGGCCTCGAACTCAGAGATCCACTTACCTCTGCCTCCCCAGTACTGGGATCAAGGCGTGTACCACCACTGCCCAGCTGAAAGCTATGTTCTTAGATTATGTGCATTCATTTTGTCCTCCATAGAAGCCTGGTCAGGGTGAATTCTACCTAGAGACTGGAATACAAGCAGACTTGAGACCCCAGTCACGTGGCATGGTAGGAGCAAGGGAGAGAAAAGAGCCCCAGAAAGTAAAGGTGTGACAGATGTAGTGTAGTGAAACAAGGTGGCAAAGGGCCCCAGAGCAAGCTGACTGGGCACAGTGCAGAGCCTTGAGGCGCTGACCCTGAGAGACTTCTGCAGCCTAGGTGGAGATGGGTTGGTGGAGAGAGCGTTAGATGGTTGCTCATTGAAAAGGAATTAGGGAACTCGGGTAAAGGCAGCGGTTTACAGAAGTCAAAGGCTGCACTTTAGCTTTGTTAATGTACTGAGAGTGCACTTGACTTAGGTGGAAGGTAGATATAAACAACCATATGCTTTCTATGAATGGGATGAGTCTTACTTACCATTCTGTTACTGTGGTTGAATGATAGGAGCATGACTTCTGTAGTTCACTCTCCTCTTCACTCTCCCCTGGATCCTCATGTGGCTTTTCCTTCAAGTCTTCTCACTGCACAAGAGTGAAGGTACCCACAGAGGCCAGAAGAAGGTGTTAGACCCCCTGGAAGTGGAATTGCTGGCAGTTGTGAGCCACGTGGTGTGGGTGCTGGGTCCTTTGGAAAAGCAGTACATACTTTTAACCACTGGGCCATCTCCAGCCCTGTTCCTGCTATATTATTTAAGAACATAATTATGTTATTGTTGGTACCCACTTAAAATCTGCTGCACCAGGGCTGAGCATGTGGCTCTGTGGTTAGAATGCTGCCTGGCGTGTCTGAGACCTTAGTTCAGTTATCAGCACCACCCACAGTCCTGTGTCCCCGTGTGTGTCCCCCCCCCCCCAAAAAAAAGGTTTTCTGGTTGAATTGATGAGACACTCCTTAGTATGCTTTCAATTTTTCTCTAAATTTGTATTCCTTGTTTTATTGGATAATGAGAGCTATGTTCTGTTTTCCTTTTTTGACTTAGCTACCAGGAATTACTAAACTAAATTTTGAATTCATTTGCAATAACTATGCTTAGCTTGAGATGTCTGCGATCCTCACTTATTATAGAGCTATAAAATATTTATTTTAGGGCTGCAGATGTAGCTCAGTTGGTAGGAAGGTTGCTGAGCATTCACAAAGCCCTGGGCTTGATCTCCAGCACCCCATAAAGCTGGGCATGGTAATACATTTCTATAATTCCAGCACTTGGGAGGAAAACCCAGGAGAATCAGAAGTTCAAGGTCATTCTCAACTATTTAGGGAGTTTGAGGCCAGCCTGGGCTACATCATGAGTTCAAGACCAACTGGAACTATAGTAAAACCCTATGTATAATAGTAATAATAATAAAAAACTAGTAATCAATTAGCTTAGCATGCATAGTCTTTACCATTTATTTTGATTTTAAGTCTCTGTATTATTAACCTCTAATTTGATTCTCATGCTCACTCTTCTTTTTGAATAATTTATTTTTATTTTATGTGCATTGGGGTTTTGCCTGCGTGTATATCTGTGTGAGGGTGTCAGATCTTGGAGTCAGAGACAGCTGTAAACTGCCATGTGGGTGCTGGGAATTGAACCTGGGTCCTCTGGGAGAACAACCAGTGCTCTTAACTACTGATCTATCTCTCCAGCTCCATGTTCACTCTTTTTAACTTGCAATTTCTCTCACTTCTGTATTTCCAGACTTCTTTTATTTTCTTGTGCCTTCCTTCTTGACAAGGAACCTACTTCCTTTAACTACAGAGCTTGTGAATGTTGCCCCTTTCCTGGGACTCTTAGCTCTCATACTCCTTCAACTAAATGAAATGACTCACAAACCTACAGATTTATAACCAGAAGAGTCATCTTGTCTCACTGGCTCATGCTCATCTCTAGTCTGTCCAAAGAAGGGAAGTGTATTGCCCAAGGTCACACTATTAATTGGAACAGAGATCAAACTAGAACCCAACCCTGGATCTGTATTACACTTTGCAGAATGAGCAAGCCCCTTCTTAACTCCAGAGAAGCAAAAATACTGTGAGAAAAGTAGAAGAGTCTATCTTCTTTTTAGTTGCAGATATCTTAAATGCAATATATTACAGGACTTAAATGTCAAACAACCTAAGTTTGATATCAACCATGTTTATTCTCTTTACTCTTTGAACAGCTTTTGTTTTTAAGGTCTCATGTGTCCCAACTAGCCTTGAACTTGCTATGTAGTTGAGGATCACCTTGAACTTTTGATCTTCCTGCCTCTTCTGAGTGCTGGGATTACAAGTCTCCACCATACTGAGTTTTGGCCAGTGCTAGGACTTCAACCCAGGGCTATATGCATGCTAGGCAAGCACTTTACCAGCTGAGCTCCGTTCCCAGCCCTGAGTATGTTCTGTTTTTCTATGCTGAAAATAGACTGTGGCTGAGTCTGTGTTGATGTTAACAGGGCAGAGTGAGACATGGCACTGCATGGAATGTATTAGGACCACAGTGTCAGCACTTGTCTGTTTGCACCCACCATCTAAACTTGGGGCTTCTTTGAGGCTAAAGATGACGCTTTATTAAGTTTTATATATAAAGAACATTAGCATATCTAGCAGAGAGAAGTCTCAGTATGTAGCCCAGTCTGCCTTGAAGCTGACTGTGGAGTTCAAGGTGATTTTGAACACAAGAACTTTCTTCAGCCTCCCAAGCATTGTATTACAGGTGTGACCCACCATGCCCAGCACTCAGCATGACTTTTAGTGGTTCTCTGTGTCCACTGGAAAGTAAGGCGTCATGCAGTGTGCCATGGTTATATCTCTAGTCCTTCACTGAAGAGCTGAAATGCTAAAGGATTTTTTTTTTTCCTACAGGGGACATGGTCTCAAAATACCGGGAACCTTTGATCCATACATTCCTGCGGGGAGTGAAGGATCCAGATGCTGCACACAGGGCCAGCAGCTTAGCCAACCTGGGAGAGCTGTGCCAGCGCCTGGACTTCCTGCTGGGCCCCGTGGTCCATGAGGTGCTGTATGTTGACTCCATCCCCTAGAGTTGTTTTGCTGAGACTGTGGTTAAGTTGGGATCTTGAGTCAAGAGATCGATCTGTGGTCTTTTTCTGTCTGCTACTGCCTCTGTCTGAGACTGGACAAGTCAGTCATTTAACCTCTCCAGTTCATTTTTGAATTTTATTTGTTGATTTTTAGATCGTATACAAAGTAATGGTTTCATGATGAGATTTCATGCATCCTTTGTTGTTGTTAGTCCACTGTCCCTGCCCCTGTCCCCAGTCCCTTCCTCCCGCCTTCATTCGCCCCTGTACTTTCAGATCATGTGTATCGGTGGCTTCCTCTTTTCCTCTTCTTTTGCCTCTTCTGAACCCTCCCCAAGACCTTCTTTTCTACCTCTCATGGTCCCTCTTCTAGGTTCATGATTTCTAGACACACACACACACACACAGAGAGAGAGAGAGAGAGAGAGAGAGAGAGAGAGAGAATGCACATGCATGGGTGCACACACGTGAACATGCACACACACACAACACATATATAAAAATAAAATATTTGATCAGATGTGAGAGAAAACATGCAGTATTTGTCTTTTTAAATGTGAGATACTTCCCTTAAGATAATAATTTTCAGTTCAGCTCATTTTCTTGCAAATGTTATGATGTCATCTTTCTTTTCCCATTGTGTATTTGTAACACACTCACCCCACCCCTCTCTTGTGTTTTCGAGACAGGCTTTCTCTATGTAGTCCTGGATATGGAACTTGCTCTGTAGACCAGGCTGGCCTGGAACTCACAGAGATCCTCCTGCCTCTGCCTTCTGAGTGCTGGGATTAAAGGCATGCGCCACCCTGGCCCAGCTCATTCATCTCTTGATGGACATCTAGGGTGTGTCTGCTTCCTAGCTGTAGTGGATAGTACATCCATAAACATATAAGTGCTAGTAGCTGTATGGTAGGACATAAGAGTCCTTTGGGATCATATTAATAATTGATTCCCTGTTAATCTATATGTTTGACATCATGATTTGTTGCCTTTAGTTTCCCTATTTGTTTCATATGTTCACTTGAGCAAATGATTTAGACTCTGAATTCAGTGGTTTGTTTGTTTAATCTTGAAAGTGGGATTAAAATACCTACAATGTAGGATTGTTACAGTGATCTAGAGGTGATGTCTATGCTTCATGTAATGATCTATTCAACAGTTTTTTATTGGGGGCCTACTACGTGTCCAAGCAGTTTTCTCCTAATACATCTTATTCTTCAAAATACACAGTGGTTCTTATCTTCATAGAGATGCTATTCTAAGGGGAGCTGGACGGTAAAGAATGTGCACAGTTGGCTGATGGGATGACGCGGAAGGTAAAGGTGCTTTTGGCAAAGCCTAATGATCTTTAACCCCCAGGAAGGACAGTCAGTAGAAGGAAAGAACTGACTCCCACAAGTTATCCTCTGACCTCCATATGCACACCATGGCATGCAAGCATTTTTGTGCTACACACACACACACACACACACACACACACACACACACACACAAACCATTTTAAATAATAAATTGTTGAAAAGAATGTACATATTAATCGGAATACTATGAGGTAAACAATAAGTGTTCTAAAAAGATGAAATCTACATGTGTTAGTTACTTTTTTCTTTGTGATGGAAAATACCTGATGAAGCCACTGAGGGAGGGTGTATTCTGGCTCCCAGTAAGGGCACAGGCTAACAATGTGGGCGGTGGTGTCACTGCAGCAGAGCGTGAGGCATCTGCAGTCAGGAAAGCAGAGAGAGAGTGCTTGTACCCAGCTTGCTTTGATTCTGTTTTTCTTCAATCTGGGACCCCAGCCGGAGAAATGGGCCACCCTCTCACCTCAGTGAACCTAATCTAGAAAATCCCTCACAGACAGGCCCAGAGTTTTTGCTTCTAAAGTACCTCAAGTTGATAATCAAGATTAGCCATCACACCAACTCTCTCTGGGGAGGTGGTATTTGAAAATTATAAGCATTTTGTCTTTCTGTATTTAGGCTTTTCTCTAAAGAAGGTCTTGATCATTTGGAGTAGGCTGATGGTAACATTGATGGAGATGAGCAGTGAGGCAATGAAACTTTAGAATCCACCCCAGTGACAGACTTCCTCCAGCAAGGCCACACATACTCTAACAAGGCCACATCGCCATAGCACCACTCTGTGAGCCTGTGGGGGCCATTTTCATTTAAACCCCACACATGGCTAGGCGGCTGCTCTCTGTATTTGATGCATGAACATAGGTTGCTGCCCACTTCTAGAGACCTGTACTTTTGGACTACATTTCTCCCCAAAACTTTTCATGATTATTAATAAGATGCAAACATAAAAAGGGAAGAGCAAGTCATTGGTATCCTGCTCCTGCTCTTCCTTCACTTACATGCTGAGGATCAGATTTAGGGCTTTGCACATGCCTAGCCAAACATCCTCCTACTGAGCTACATCCCCAAACCTCAGACCATTCTTCATCTGCTTTCTCATACCCTCTTAGCATCTAGCAGAGTTCTTGGCATGGAGTGGGTACTGTGTTAGCTGATTGATGGCTAATGCAGAGGAGAGTATGGCTATCTGGAAAGGCTAGTTCCTACATGTTTAAAAGATAGTCATAATAGCAAGCACTTAATACCTTACATATGTCAACTAATCTAGTGCTAACAGGGGAAACTGAGGCACGGACTAAATAAGTTGTCAAGGTATGCAGGTAGCACATGGCAGGACTGGGATTTGAATGTGGGTAGTTAGCTCCAGGATTCACTCCTTTTATCATTTTTTCTGTATTGTCTCACAATGTTTTCAGCTCACTTAGAAGACTGCCTTTGTGTCTTGAAACTAAAGCTACAGGCAGGAAAGATCTTGCAGCTCTTACTTTAATAGAGCCTGATTTTGGCAGAAAAACTTCAGACAGTAATATATTCCCTCTGATTTGAAAAACTAGGTGTTTCCCTCCCATATAATGTCTGCCTCCTCCTCTTAAATGTTCATATGTAGCATCCCACACTTGCCTTGTCATCAGTGCCAAACCAGGTACCTGAGGTGGACTACAAGTTTGAACATGCGTGGAGACCTGCCAGCTTTAGTGTTTTTACCCATTGAGCCTTTCTGTTGTCAGACTATTTTAGACCATTAATGTGGAAAGAGTGGAGGATCTTTGATTGGGGGAGGGGAGTGTGTGTGTGATGGGGATTGAACCCAGAACCTTGCACATCCTAGGCAGTACTCTCCCACTGAGCTGTGTTCCCAGCCCTTGGTTTTTTGAGATTGTCTCAGCTTTCAAGGTACTTGGATTACAGACATGTTCCACTCTGATGACTAATCTTCATTATCAACTGGATAGGGTTTCGAGCCTCCTACAGATATGCCTCTTGTTTTGTCTAGGAAGGTATTTCTAGGAGATTTAGCTTAGAAGGGAAGACCTGCTGTGAATGTGGTGGCACTAATCATGATCTTGGGCCCCAGACTGAATGAGAGAGAGAGAGAGAGAGAGAGAGAGAGAGAGAGAGAGAGAGAGAGAGAGAGAGAGAGAGAGGAAGAGAGGAAGAGAGGAAGAGAGGAGAGAGAAGAAAATAAGCTGAGTGCCAGCATTCATCTGTCTCTGCTTCCTGACTGTGGAGGTAAATGACCTTGTCGTCTTCTGCGATGCCTCCTGCTGTGATGGACTGTAGCCTTTCTTACACTCTGAGCCAAAGTAAATCTTCTTCCCTTAGGTTTGTCTTTGTCAAGGATTTTGTCACAGCAAGAGAAGTACCTAATATAGAAGATTGGTACCAAGAAGTGGGGCCTTTGCTGTGATAAAGCTGACCATGTGGTTTATTAGACTGCTCAAGAATAACCACATAGGGAAGTTCTTTCCAGGGTCCAGCTGCCAAGGTCACACAGAGGCCACTACAACTGGCATAGAAGGGGCATTCTGGGTCTCAGGCTGGCAGTAGCACTTGATGGCATCATCCACATGTGCTGGTTTTGCAGGCATGCAAAATGCAAGTTACCAATCATGGGGATGCACCAAGGTTTCAGAAAGTCACTGAAGCTCAGCAGTGCGTAGCAGGGGTAGATTCCCTGCAGTGAAGACAGGCCCTTGCAAAAACTGTGAAGGGGAATTGAAAATTGAAATGGAAACCCATGATGTTGGAGATTCCAGGACCATGGGATATCCACCAAGGAAAGCTGCAGGCTCAGAGTAGAATCAGTTGGAGAGAGAGGCTTTGTGTGCTGCATGTAATAGAACTGAAGGGTGGGGGCTTCCTGAGTCCACTGGAGCCCACACGATGTCACTAAGGGTCCCAAGATGCCAGATGGGGAGCTAAGGTTTAATTCTCTTCTGATAGGTTTCAGGTGTGCTTGTCTGGTCTTTTCTGGATATCCTCATTCTTCCCTATGGGAATGTAAATTTTTAACCTGTGCCGTTAATCCTGGAAGTATGGTTTTTGCTTTTTGTTTTATGGGGCTCACAGTTAAGAGATTACCTTTTGTCTTAAATGAGACTTTGGACTTGAATAATGTTAGAACTGTTAAGAGTTTAGAAGCTTTTGGAGATGAATTGACTATTTACATTATGAGATAGCTATGATCCTTTGAGGACAAAGGTGGAATATTGTGGTTTAAAAGTGATGCATTACCCAGGTGTGGTGGCACATGTGTTTTATCCCAGCACTGGGGAGGCAGAGACAGGCAGATCTCTGTTGACAAAGGTAAACTGTGGTTAATCATCACTGTCAACTTGATGGGATTTATAATCCCCTAGAGATACATCCAGAGGTACCAATGAGGGTGTTTCTAGAGAGATTTAACAGAGAAGGGAAGACTCACTCTTAGTGTGAGTGGTACCATCCTATGGGCTGGAGTCTCAGACTGAATAAAAAGAGAAAAAGGAGAAAATAAGCTGAATGTCTGCATTCACCTCTCGACTTCCAGACTGCAGATGCAAAGGGACCAGCTGCCTCATGTTCTTATCTCCGTGCCTTCCCATATTCCTACTTAAGCCATGAGCCAAAGTC